AGCCCGCTCCTCCGTTTCCAGAACATCACTTTCCCCTTCACCATCTATCGATCTCTTCCCACAAAATCAATCTGCTCATCGATCTTTTCACGGCGACGGGGAGGCGCTGTTAGAGGGAAGAAGTGGTCGGAACTTGGAAGCTCCCTCGTGGCCTTCTCTTCTCCCAACATCTTTCGTTTTTTATTTATTTGATTTAATTTCTTTAATAGCATAAGGTCAAGTTTTCAAAATCGGTCAGGTGGTTCGAGCGGGTCGAACGGTTAACCGTTCCGACCGCTGACCCGTCCTTTCCAGCCATTACGGTTTTACTGGTCCGACCGACCGGCTCGGGTCGGTCTTGATAAACTGCAATTATCAATACCAATATTGTAAAATAAAAGATTTACCTGATTTAAGGATTAAGCGTTATTTATTTTGAAATTTCTTTCATTTTAAGTTTAAAAACTATTGAAATTATGTGATCATATGGAATATATATTGTAAACTCACTGAATCCACCTAACCATCCATCATCTGCAATCACCCAACCCAACCCACCCACATGTAATGCTTGGATGAGTGTGAGTCATTATCTCCTTCACCCATCACTTAGTTGGTGGTTTCTAACTCACCCAAATCCGCATAAATCACCCACTTTTCACCCCTACCGCATACAATTGCATGAATAAAAAATTCGGTATAGGCATGTAGCACATCTACATTATTAATTATACATTTTAAAGGGTTGGTTTGCTCGTCACAATTATTTATTTACTTCATATAAATGAAAATATCAACACCAGATATTCGACCATGGTCTTTTTAGATTTAAGACAAAGATAAGAATCATAACCAGTTGCACTAAACAAATATTTTGTACATTTTGTACTACAAAACATACACGAAGCTAAAAATTCTAAAAATTAGAAGACTTTTGCATAACGGTAAGCTAGCACGTAAGTATTTTTATGGTGCTTGACTCCTTGATTTTTTATATTTTGATTATTTTAAATGGATTTTAATTAGTTTATAAATTTTCTAACTTATTAATGAAAGATAATCTTAAAAATGCAACACAAATATCATTGGTTGGAGTATTGCATATCGAGTTGGTGTATTGAATATGTAGAAGCGATGTAAACAAATATCATTGGTTGAAATATTGCATATTGAATTTCAGTATTGAATATGCAGGAGTGATATAAAATTCTTTCCATGAATTGAAGATCTTATTGATACACTACTATCTTATCATGGTTGAGCATCCTATATCATGATAGACAATAATATTTTAGTTTACGAGCATTGTCAACAAAAGAATTTACCAAAATTTTCATCACACAATTTTTCGTTACTCATATTTGAGTTATGCAGACTTGAAATTAAACTACAAACTCCACTTAATAATGAATTTCTTGATGTATCTAAAATAGTCTAACGCTCGGAAAATCAAGTTGATTCTAAAAATCTAGAAATTCACCAATTCATTTATCCGACGTGACAGCGAAATCAAGTTTCGAGACATCTTATTGTTTGAAATCTCAATGTAAATCTTTTCGGGTTCCAGTTTGTAAGATTCATGTTAATTCAAACACTGAAAAGTTTGTTCTTTAAATTGTATTGAGATTCAATCGGAAGAAGTGAAGAGCTCATATATGCCATTAATGAATATCATTTTGACATTTTACTATTATGAGTGGGGTACTAAAGTCATTTAGATTTGATTTTAGAATGATGATACTTAATCATAGTTTAATAAGCGAGGTAAGAGCTACTTTAATGGCAATTAACAAAAAAAAATATCTAAAGCCAGGGGTCTGGTTAAAAAACACACTAATATTACTTCTCTAATTTTGGATCTTAATTTAGTTGCATAAATTCCTTTAGAGTTGTCTGAGACCGAATACTATATTTACATGTGCCCAACTCAATTCCTGCTTTCATCCACTACTACTCTGCTAAGAAAGAGTCTATCCAATTACTGCAACAATTACATATGTTTTTTTTTTAAGATTAACAACAATTACATGTGGATGGAAAATATAGACTATCATGTACTAGAGCGTGTTGTTCCCGTTTTTGCATGTCTCTGATTTTGAAATTACAGATAAGGAAAGACTTAACGATGCTTCAGACGAGATGCAATACTACCAATAGCATTAAGCTTTTTGTCTTCAACTTGATCTTCATTCCATTTGAATAAATTTATTTTATTGTGCATTATAAATTTGGGATTTTCAAAATAAAATATGTTTCTAGATTAAAATTGTGATAAAAGTGACGGAGATGCACACCTGATATCCCACCAAAACATTGAAAAAGTTTGAAAAAAAAAAAACAAAGGACAAAGAGGTGGTAATACCAATTTTAATCTAACAAGTCATTGATATTCAAACTAGCCTTTTACCCGGCCTGTTGGCCGGAGAGATTTATTTTATAATTTATATGTTTAAATCATTTTGGATCTTCTAAATATTTTGTAACCGAGTTTGTAGTATGTTTATATTGAAATTTCCAATATTTAGCACACTCACTTATGATGCTTCGGTTTTCGAATCATAAATTATGTCGCTGTCACGTCCCATTTAGAACTTATGTCAAAATTTGTCAACTAAAACACTAATATTTAGTGTACGCCAACCTAAACCACACACACATATATATAGTTCAAGCTACCGTGCGCCAGGAGTACGTTATACTCTTGCGTTCATACTACCATACGACCATTGAGTTTTACTATTTAGACCCGAATTAACCGGATTTTTTTGGGGCATTATACTATCTAATAGGTGAACTCTAGTCCCTAATTCTGTAACCTCTAATTTATGCACATACTTTGTAATACCTATCTCCTATCATATTTTGAGTTAAATAAAAAGTATAGTATATCTTGATATTACATATACATGTATATATACATGTGTGTGTATATTACACTCAAAATTATCTAGAGATCTCGCTTTTACCCCCATAACGCCAGAGGACCATTGGGGTTGTCTATTGTTTGATATATACTATATTAAAGGTAGGGATGACGGGATCATAGCTCGATATGATTTTATTATTTTCATCTTATCAGAGGTTATGTTCTTTTTTGTTTTTTGTTTTTTGTTTTTGCTTCTTTTTCATTCTACTTTAGCACCTATGGTTGTGATCAGAGGTATTTAGCCCTCGAAAGGGATTGGGATTTTAGGTCCTTTGGAAATCCAATACACATTCAGGATCCTCGAGTTTGGACAAACTCTCGACCAATGTTGTAAAAATTACCACTTTTTAGTGAGAAATTCTTTGTAAATATACTTCATTATTGGATTTATTCATCCATATTGAAACTTGACACACACTGTAGCCCTCATGATTGACTAAATTCTCTAATCTCGACTCATTTCCATTTTGGATGTTTTTTTTTTATCCAGACACTTAAATTTAGTATATTATACAATATGTATCCATTGTTAATTTTTGAAGTTTATACTAAACCTCAACCGGTGGTCATTGTTTATATGTTGACTTAGAATCTCAATCTAAGGCACTCACACACACACTATCGAGGATTTTTGGTCTTAATATGGTCGTTGAATGTGTAATTTTCAAAGATTTTATCGCTTATATATTAATAATTGATAAAGAGTGTCTCCAATACACACATATTTTAAGTGCATTTAAAATGTCTTATCATTTGAACAATATCAGTGTATTTCATTTGATTATTTGCAATAACTTATTATCTTATACAACATATATTAATTCGTTTTTCTCGAGTCTAGACGAACTGAAAACCAATTTTAAGAGTTGAGATTATTGGATAAAGATACTTGATTGTTGAATAAATATGTTTATCCCAATTGACGGTCTTACTAAAAATTGCCAACCTTTATTTGGTAAATGCCTATGTTAGTAGTTGATGAAACGTGATGTTTATCGTAGATTCTAAACAAAGATTTTTCTAACCTTCACATCTATTATTTTTCAAGGAATCTTGTGTCTCATCCTATGGTATGAAGTCAAAGTTCGTCAACAATCTTACTTAAGTCATTTTGAAAATTTTGATTTATAATCGTCGAAGATAACTCCAAGTCTGAAAGAAAATTTCTTAGCATACGACTTAGAACCTCAATAGAGCTTGCTCAATCGACATGATATAGAGGAAATATTATTAATGTGAACTTAGGTCACATTATCAAATTATTGCACATGCGATTCCTCTTCATTTGAGGAATTTAAGGTAGAACATGATCTGAATGAATAAGAATTTTTTTTAAATAAATAACTGTAACTACTCGATCAAGATTGTACTCTGACATTTTGCTAAATAATATTATTTTATTTTATATATATATTGTACGAATAATAGAGTGTTTCATTGCAACAAAATATAAAGTAATTTAGTTTATTTTTCAAAGGTAATTGAATGATAAATGTTTATTTTCTCTCTTTTCATATATATTTTGGTTTAATCGATTAAAACATAAGTGTTTATGTGTATGTTTGTTTATTTTTTCATCAAAATGTAACTTATCATTGAATTTTAGTAAAAATGAGTAGAAAATTTATTTCATAAGGTTTAATCAGATATTTTTTATTTAAATAAATGTGATATATGTCACTCTCTTTTTTCTTATTTATATTTTGTTTATTTAAAAAATTTTATTATTTATGTTTGTTTGATTAAGTTTATCAACATATAACTTATTATTAAAGACAAAAAAGAATAAATGGATAAATGAAAAAGAATAATTGGATAAAAGAAATGGAAATATTAAAGAAGAGAGAGGTAGCTCCATAAATACATTAATAACTAATTTTTTGTTTGTAAAAAAGTTGTCCAACTTGGCAAATTGTGGATCCTCCAAGTGCTTATGTGGCAAGAAAACTTTTTTGAATTGCCATAATAGATAGATAGATAGATAGATAGATATAGAAGATAGATAGATATAGATAGATGCTTATGTTTTTTCTAGGGCAACTACCACTAGGAAACCTGAACTATAAATAATATGTCATTTGTGTCCTAAAGTATTCAATATGACATTTGTGTCCCAACCTATTATAGTTGTGTGTCATTTATGTCCTGACAATTTCGTTGACCGTTAAAGATAACGGTTGACCAGACGGTGGTCAACTTGATGTTGACTTTTACTGACGTGGCAAAAACGTGGCAGCCATGTAGATGCCACGTCATTGACACCTCAGATTATTATAAAATTAAAATAAAATAAGTAAAATACTATTATATAAAAATAAATAAAAACAAAAAGCCTATGTTATGTTGTGCGATTTCGGAGATTGGTTCTTAATCGGCCGATTCCAAAACAAAATAAATCCCTAATTTGGAAGAGAAATCACGGAGATTGGTGGTGAATTCCCATGCCAAATCCATATGGACCCATCTTCCTTCCACTCCACCTTCTTCTAGCCTCTGTTGTGCCGATTCCTGCACTCTGCTTCGTTCGTGGGTCAGTGGAGAAGAAATGGACGGAAATGGTTCTTCATCAGGCGAGCGAAGCTTCTCTCCTGGCGATTTCTAATGCTCGGAGCTTTTCTGTTTCTGGTTCTCTGCCCTCACGCTTCCTCACACAACGACAAAGGAGGTCTGTGGCGGATCTCTGGTGGGGTTGCGGCAGCGGACGACGATCCAAAACCCACAAATTGGAGAACCCGCCCACCTCTGCTCCGCTGCTAAAGACGGAATCCCGAATTTGGTTAGGATGCCGACAAATCAGACAGAGCTGGGGATGCCCGAAGTTGGTTAGGATGCCGACCAATTGGACGGACGCTCGAACTCCAGATCCTCATCAGCGCCTCTGTCTCTCAACCCTCTCTTCGATAGCGGCCGGAAGTTGAATACCCAGGTCGGGAGTTTTTTCAATTTGGTAGTGCTTGTTGATCAATAGCCTGCAGAGACACGAACTACCTTTCTCCTTTCTTTCAATTGACGTCGAGTGGAAGAGTTCTTTCAATTCGGACTGGATTTGGACGGCGGCGGAAGTAAGGAGGAGAGAAGACGAAGAAGCAGCGGGAGGAGTTCCGGAAGGCGAAGACTACGAAGGAGAGATAGAAGACCCCAAAAGTTATTTATTTTGTATTTTTATATTTAATTTTTGTATTTTGTAATTATTATTTAAAATTTAAAATTTTTATTAGATGGAAAAGTAACAAAAAATTAATATTAAAATTCCAAGTCAGATGCCACGTTAACGCTGACTGAGTTTTCTGTTAAATAATAACAGTCAACGTCGGTCAACTCTAACAGACAAATAGTTTAGGATACAAATGTCATATTGGATACTTTAGGACACAAATGACACATTCTTAATAGTTTGGTTTCCTAGTGGTATTAACCCTTTTTTCTAATATTTAGGTCAATGCATATTTCATCCAATGCGGAGTTGTCAAAATATAAAATGAGGCTGCGATATTGATGCATAACATATTCAACCAATGCAGAGTTGTATTATAAATTTGGAGTGCCAAAAATAAATTATAATTTCATGGTAATTAATTTTGCGAAAAAAGTGATAGAGATGCACTACCTTCATTGACGAGAGTAAAAAATTAAACCCGACCATCAATCTCCACCAAAATATTGATAGAGATAAATCAATTGAAAATAAAGGTTTGAGATGTGGTAAAACTCAGTTTCGTTGATATTTAATAGCTAACGGTATCTCTAATATTTAGGGCAACGTATATCCATCCAAAATTGTCAAAATAAAGAATGTTGTTGCAATTTCGGTACATAACCTTCTTTATTCCCCTCGGCAGCTCTAACTAAAGCACGAATCCAAGCGTTGCAACTAAGCATTTTTCAATCTCTCACAAATTTGTTACGAACTATATTTCCTTTATCTAATCTGATTAATGGAAATCTATCAACGAAAAAATTTACAAATGCTAAGAGGAGTATTTTGTGAGAATTTGTAACAACATGAAAAACAACACCCACTAGGTAACATTATCTTACTCTTCCATTGTTTTTTTACTTCAAATTCATTCGAGAAAATAACATCGTACCCACTAAAATATATGGTTTTGAAATAAATATTGTATCCCATTGCTATCGGTTTATAAATTCAGGTTCCGTTTCCGAATTATGTGGACAGTTGGAAATATTGAATTTGTGCTTAGTGTTTGGTGTACTTGTTGATGGAGATAATATCGATTTTAGAAAAAGAAAAAGTTTTTGATGACGAAGATATAAGTTTCAATGATAGAGAGAAAGAGTGAATATAAATTATAGTTTTAATGGCTTGGATAAGATCAATTTTACTAAGGGAAAATGATGTTAATTTGAATTTTTTATTTTTGATACTTAAATAATTTGAACTTTTTTCTAATACCAATTAAACGTTCTTTTCATCGAGTAATAGTTATTATTATTATGCAATTAATGAAATGTATCCGGCCAACGATTCGGACTAAAATCTAGCCATAAAACGAGGCTGATTCTCAAATTTTGGGATAAGATGCTTGTTTCTCTCCATAATCTCTTCCAATCTCTCCATACTATCCGGTAAGTATACACTTTCCGAATGAAACTTCACAATTTCAAATTTTCTTATTCCACAAACATTCACGTCAGCTTTGATTTTCCACTTCACTTTTATTGTTTTACTTTTTTTTTATAGACTTAACCCTTATTAAAAATAAATCAACATATAAATTATCATTACTATTCAAACACACAACCTCATGATATTAATTTTGAAACTTATAAGATAAACTTCATTAATTATATTTATTATTATAACAAGACGGAGACCATCATATCATCATACATGTATAATATAATATGTTACATATGATTTGTTCGTGATAGTTTCAATCCATCTATGGAACTGATATTGAGTCAAAAGTCAGATGAATTTAAAATGGATCTTGATATAAACATAAATTATATGTTTACAAATAAATTACATAAACCCAAACGGGATGGGATTAGGTGCTAACCCTTATAGGGGTTAGCACCGTGATAACTAGCAAAAATCACTACGGATTATTATAAAATCAATACAACATCTAAGCTAAATCACTACTAATTCAAACTAGTAGTAGTTTTTCCCTTGGTTAGTATGGTGCTAACTATTGTACAATTAGCACCGTAGCCGTTCCCACCCAAACGATCAACTAATTCAAAAACAGTTTAATTATGATTTCAAACAATTAATAATAGTAAAAATAATCCGGTCAATGGCCGGGAACAAAACTAATTATGCATGTGATATTTATATAATAATTTGATTCCAAATAACAGGTTCGACAAATAGGGCTGCAAATGAGTCGAGTCGAGTCGAGTTTTTGCTTAGTTTGAGCTCAACTCCTTTATAAAATTTTCAGCTCTAGCTTGGGTCGAACTCGAATTTTGAGAATCCAACTCGAGCTCATGCCTGGCTTGAATAAAAATAATCTAGCTCGACTCAGTAGATCTCAGCATTAACACAGCTTGTCAAGCTGAGTACAAGCTCTACTCAATATGAGCTCGATTTCAAATCATTCTTGCAATCTTGCTAAAAATGTGTAAACATTTTAAGAACACTAGAAAATAACAATAACATCTAACTTCCATGCACATCTGTATTAACAAGAAATTGTTCAAGTTCAAAAGAGTAATTAATCCTTCCACAAAGTCTAAACAAGTCAGCTCTCGAGGAGTCAAGCTAACTCACGAGCTAATCAAGCTGAGCAAGGTCTAGCTCAAGCTAGGCTCGTTTACTAACGAGTCGGCTTGTTAAATAACTAGGCGAGCGTCGAACGAGTTTTTTTTATTCAAACGTCGAGTTGCTCGTGAGCGGCTTGGCTCATTTGCAACCCTATTGACAAATACTTAGTGATGTCAATTTGATCCCGCCCCGACGGGCATTACGCGAGCTGACACGTGATGGAGCGGGTTTACCCAACCAATAATAGCGTGGGGCAGGGCATGAATATCTACTTGCGACCTGTCCTGCCCCGCCTCGTTTTTGGCCCATTCTATTTCGAGTTTTCTTCAACTAGTTAGAGTTAATCTCTTAACTAGTTAGATTCAATCACCAATTCTACTATTTCTATTTTTTTTTTTATAAAGTGTTTTTCTTCGCTTAATCGTGAAAATAAATTTTACATATATTTGCTCAAATAACATATAAAAATGAGTCGACCTACCCCGCCACCCACTCGCGGATATTACTCGCCTAAGACACACTTGGTGCGGGCCTGATATAGGTATTGAGGACCCGTGGCACCACATTGCCATCACTGCAAATACTCAATCCAAAACCACCCATTAAATAAAGAACAACATCACAATGTTGTGGCAAACGTAACTGGTAATAGTTACATTCAATTGATGCCATCAATCCACCACTAAACCAAACGCCAAACCCTTTATTAGCTAAATCATGATTAGTTCTTTTCTCTCTCAGTTCATCATCCGCTGAAACTCCTGATAATCCAGCACGCCGTTCCCGTCCAAATCAAACGGCCGGATCATCGCCGAGCACTCATCTACCGACTTCCGATCACCCAACCGGACCAACATCCTCTGCAACCCACGCGGCGTAATACACCCTTCCCCCTTATCCTCCTCGAACATCTCAAACGCCCGCCGCAGGTCGCCGTCGAGATCCTTGCCGTCGCCGTCGACCATCCGAACAAATTCCCCGAACTCCAGCATCCCGTCGCCGTCGCCGTCGAACTCCCCAATCACCTTTTCCGCGTCCTCCTTCGACATCGCCTCCCCTGTCGTCGACGCGAAGTACATCCCCAGCTCCTCCCCTGAAATCCTGCCGTCCCCGTCGCTGTCGAAGTGGCGAAACACCCGCAGCAGATCCGCCTCCTTGCTCCGCCCCGCTGCGGAAGGCGAAGAAAGAGGGGAGGCGGCGGCGGCGGCGGGGGAGGAATTGGGTTTGGACTTGTTGATGTGGATGGAGCGGAGCAGGGGAAGGCTGAATTTGAATCCTTTGCCCGAAGATGACCTCTTAGTCGGCGAATTGGCTGCGGTGGCGGCGGTGGTTGCCATTGTAATTCCCAAACTGTTTGATTTTCTGGTGGTGGATTTTGGGGCGACGGAAGTGGGAATTGATTATAATGGAGTGAAGCTCTTAGCTCTGCCGTCGGGAGTCGGGGTCAAAAAGGAAAGTCCGATTTTTTGGCGGGGTGTGAGCGGGGAATTTGTAGTTAGTTCCACGGCTTATGGAGAGAAACTGCGCTGCAGCTTCGTGGATTTGGTATCCTTTCCATTTTTGGGGAATGATCGATGGGAATGGAAATACAAATTAGCTACGGGACGAGCGGCCGAATATGTGATGTAGGGTTTGGTTTGAACTGCAACATTTGGCAATTGTCACTGTGACAGTGGGGATGGACGGAAAGAACAGAGACGACCAGAGCTTTCACGAAACTTCAACGAAGCTTCTTCTCTTGAAATGGACTATATTTATGTCCAAAGTTCATAGGGTTCCAATCCATCCATCCATTTTGTTATTCTCCCCACTCTTAAACGGTCTGGTCCGGAACCGGACCAAAATCAAGAGAAACGTGGTTCAGTAATGAAAAACATTTTAGATCAAGAATTGAACTAACCGTGCTTTCTATCCAATTTGGTACGGTTCAAATGTTAGTTCGGTTCATTTTGTTTTAGTATTTATAAAATTCACGAAATCAATGAGCGAACTACATTATATTCGATTCGATATGGTTCGGTCAAAGTGTCAGTTTGGTCCGGTGTGATTTGATATGGACCCTATCATTGCACACCCCTAATATTAATGAATGTAGTCGTGACTCACGACTGAATCTTAATGATGTTGCATCGTAACGATCAGAATTGTGAAGACGCTTGATCCAACTACATCAACATGTGCTAACATCTGTTCGATTATTATTAACCAATTCCATATATATATATAGTGGAGTATTCGGTGCACCCACTTTCGGGTGCACTCAGTGCACCCGCCTCATAATTGTCATTCCGAGCATGCGATTCATGGTAAAATGGTATCAATTGTTGCTTATGATATCATGAAAAAGAAGCACATGAATTTGAAAATAATCCATTCACAATTTACTTTAATTCAAAGGATTTAGGATTTAGGGATTTAGGGTTAGGGTTTAGGTTTACAATTTGGGATTTTGAGTTGGGATTCAAAATTGAAAGTTAAGGGGTTAGGGTAATAGATTGATTTGTTATGATTCTATGTCATATCATCATATTAGATTGAGAGTACTAATTAAAGTTCAAAATTTGATATATTATGGACACTTTTAGAGTTGGGTGCACTGAGTGCTCCCAAAAAAGTGAGTGCACTGAAGTAGCCACCATATATATATATATATATATATATATATATATATATATATATATATATATATATATATATATAGTGCCTTCTACGGTACCCCGGGTGAAATCTGGGGTATCGCATACCTTGAGTATGAAAACGCTATCTAGACCTCGAATTAGCAGGATTTTTGGGCATGATACTATATCCTAACCCTTAATGAGTGAACCCTAGGTCCTAATCATCTAAATCATAAACTAAAAACCCTAAGATGGTGTATTACTTTTTTTTGCCTATATTTGGACGAATCATAACCGTTGATTATTGTTTCTAATTAAATTGTTCTTGGGGTATAAGATTTAGAGAATTAAGACCTAGATTTTGATCTTTATGGGTTAGAGTATAGTATAATGTCCGAAAGATCAGTCAATTCAAGTTCTAGATAGCGTTTTCTTACTTAAGTTATGCGGTACCCCGGATTTCACCCGGGGTACCGTAGAACTCCCCATATATATATATATATATATATATATATATATATATATGGAGAATCGATATGCTTGTCATCAACTTGTATATTATGAAAATCATGTCCACCCAACAACTATGATTTTCAAGTTTGATTTTTACCATACCTATTAAAAATTCTTCGAATTCAAATTTTAAGGGATTAGATTGGATTCGAAACTACTATACACAAATATGATCATATTTGTCATCCTATTCCTATCATATCATAGCAAGTTAGCAACCCTGAAACTCAACGGAGTCCAAACTTATGGGAAAAAATCCCAAAATACTCTAATTATTAAAAAAATTCCCTAAATACAGTACTTATAAACTTATTTCCCAAAATACAGCAGTTTCAACATCACTGTTGTAGACCAAGACAGTGATTGCAATCACCGTTTTGGTCAAAAACGGTGATAGCATCATCGCTTTCAACCAAAACAGTGATGCTATCACCGTTTTGGACAAAAACGGTGATGCCATCCCCGCTCTTGTTAAAAGCGATGATGCTGAGACCGTTGATGTGAGAAACGGTGAAGCCACTATCACCGTTGATTGGGAAAACGGTGAAGAGGGCGCGGATCGCTGACGTGGTTGCGCGCGGGCACTTCACCGCCATAGAGACAGCGGTGATAGCCCCGCCCCGCCACGTCATCAATCCGCGTCGTCCGCGCCCTTCACCACTGCCGTTGGATGCGGTGAGGCGCGGATTGTGATTTTTCTCCACGATCCGACCCCTCACGCCTCGCCACGTCAGCGATCCGCGCATCACTACGGTCCTCAATGGCGGTGAATTCACTGCTTTCGAAGAAAGCGGTGATTGGCTGCTGAGGGAACTTTCCAGCGCCCCTTCCCCCTATAAATACCACTCCCCCCCCCCCCCCCCCCCCTCATTCCAAACCACACCACCATTTTATACTTCTTTCTCCCTCCATTACTTCACTCTAGTTTCGTTCTAAGTATGCTCTGTGGTTGCGGCTAAGTCCGATCTTCCGCATCAGAAAGAATTACTAGAGTTTTTGTTTTGTCGATACTCTCGCTAGCTTTTCGGCAAAAAATGGACGAAGAGGCTTTGAGAGTACGTAAATTTATTTTATTCTTTTGTGATTTTTTTACATGGGTGCTACAATTTAAATTGATTTGATTTCATATTTTTTTATAGATGGGTGCTGAGATATACGACCCTCGATTGTATATCCATCCTGGCCCAAGGGATCGAAGGTATTTAACCGGGCAAGATCAACATCTCTCCCGTTCAATTTGGAACAATAATCCGGTAGACACACTAAAATTATTTCAATAGTTTTAAAGTTTTTATTTTGCTTTCTATTGACTGACAATATTGTGTTTTTTGTTTTGTAGGAATCACTTATTCCCATCAGTCATCGAGGGACATGTCGATTGCCCCGTTGGCATGATCGACTGCAGCCCTATCTAGAGAGGACGGGATTGCACATGCTGAGGCACTTTATGAGGCTTGATATTGACAACGATCTGATGACGGCAATGGCAGAGCGATGGCGCCCCGAGCTGCATACTTTCCACTTTCCCGAGGGTGAAATGACGATCACCCTCAAAGATGTTGCCATCCTCACCGGGCTCTCGATCACCGGAGATGCCATCATCGACAACTCGAAAAAACCGGAAGATGGTTGGGGGCCGTTGATTCAAGAGCGTTTGGGGTTCAACATGCCGACCATCACGCCCATCGACGGGGTTGGGCATCCACCACTGAATGCGGGGCAAGTATCGATCCCGTGGCTTGTTGACCACATCCAAATGGAGGTTAATATAGGCCCGGACACTCCTGATGATCAGGTGGAGCGGTATGCATGTGTCTACCTAATTGGCTTGGTTGGTGGGTTTCTATTCCCCGACAAGTCAAACCGGTGGATACAAGGCATGTGGTTACATATGCTCCTCGGTGACACGGACGAGATCGGGAAAAAAAGTTGGGGGTCGGCCGTCTTGGCTGGGATCTACCGAGAGTTGTGTACTTGCTCGAGGTTGGGAGCGAGACAAGCTGGTGGTGCGATGTTCATACTCCAACTCTGGGCATGGGAGCATCTTCCGTTTTTAGCACCTCGAGACCCTCGGGAATTCTGGTTGCCAGATGATGAGCTACGATTTGTAGCAAATCCCCCATATGGTTTCAAGTAAGTTTAATTTAAGTTTAATTTAAGTTTAGATATGCAATGGTAGTATTTTAGTGAATTTAGATCTATTCCAAGTAAGCGAATTTAGTGACATTTTAGGTCTGCAGTTATAGTATTTTAGTGAACTTAGATATCTTTCAAGTAAGCAAATTTAGTGACATATTAGGTCTGCAATTATAGTATTTTAGTGAATTTAGATATCTTTCAAGTTAGCGAATTTAGATTTATTTTAACCAAATCGTATTTAGCTAATTTAGATATTGCCAAGTAAGGAATTTTAGTTCAATTTAGATGCTTCCATACAATCATACTTAACAAGTAAACATCTATGCCATAAAAATTGCTTATATACGTACTTTTTGCTTAATTAGGTGGATCGGAGCAAATACAAACGACCACCAGCACGAACACTCTTTGCTGTTTTATTGTGCTGAATTTGATAAGCCTTGGTGGAATCAGGTAAAAATATAAAATTTCATCATTTTCAATTTTTTAGGTGGAGTGGATATAATTTGTGCTAATTCCATGAACTATAATGATTGTAGGCGGTATGGGATCCATATCCAAATGAAGTGGTTGAGTTGCATCGTCTTAGACATCCCGAGGATCAAGAGACATGGTTGTGCAAGGTGCCCTTAATCTGCTGGCACATGGTGGAATGGCACCTGCCCGATCGATCTTTGAGGCAATATCGATTGGAGCAACCAATTCCAGCATCCCCACCTCAAGGGTTCAGGGAGCTTCACGCCATTGACCTACACTACACCAAAAAGGATTGGGTCAAGAAGCATGAATTCTACATCAACATATGGGAGAATAGAAATCAGTGGGTGGTCCAAGGGTTGCCGGAGACGAGGCCAATGGGGTACCACGATGGCTACATGCGGTGGTATCGAAATTTCACGCTAAGATGGGTGTCAAAGCAAGGTGCTGTTTGGGGCGCAGTGGTAAGTGAATTCCATTTTGTCCTCTTTGACTAAATTTTTTGTAGTATGATTACATGCCTATATTAGCTAGATTGTTAATTAACATTATTAGATTTAAGGATGCCTCTTTGTCTTAATGTTAGTTAATTTTGTACAACAATTTATTAGGTTGACGGTTTGGAACATGCCAAGCACACTGTCGAGAGTGCACCCACCATGGATGAGCGGAAGACATCTTTTTTGCGCAGGCTTTTCAACAACCTGCTCTGTTGTACCCGAGAGCAAAGGAGGGATGTCGTATTATACCCTCCAATGCCTGCACCGGCCCGACCTTCATTCCGTGCTGATGAGAGGATCGTGCCCCCACAAGAGCCACCACAGAGGAGCAGAAGAAGGGTGAGAGAAAACATG